ATAATTTTGAAAAATTTGTTTTTATTATATTGACCGCAATTATATTGTTGTACCGAGACCTTGTCTTCAAAAAAATCCAAATAACCCAAGCTTAACTCAGTTTACCACGCATTTCTGTTATAAGAGGAACGCATGGGGCTCCCGAATGGAGATCGGGTCACATTGTGAACTTAACGAAACCCAATAAAATGATCTGCCAGTGATTTATGCGAGACCCGTAATTTGATTCCACAGATATGTGGAGTGATTATCTTAACCAGTCGCCTTTGGAAGGCATTGATTTCCCGAGGAGTCGTGAGCACGCTGGCCGCTGTTCATGCAACACTTTATTGACTCTTTATGATTCTGCAGAGTCTCTGCATTGGAAATGTCAAAGTGCACGTATTGGCTTTTTGCGGTGATACCATTCTCCAATGCAGGAGTGTAGATCGTATCACACTTGATATCTTTATGCTAGTGGAAAATGGAGAGGTAATAGACGCCGCAATGAAAATGCACACAAATCGATTTTTGACGCATTAACCAAAGCAGGTTTTTAATAATAGAGGCATATTTTACAGGAGGAGTTTTATCTACTTCTCTACTCTATTGTGGTTCGTATCAACCGATACGACATGCACTCTTTGTAATGATATTAATTCAGTGATAGTCATTTTTTCATTACAAACCAATTATGAAGCCCTTTAGCTCGGTGTGGTTGCCAATCAGATGACAGTTCAATAAATATAGACTCAAGGCCATGTTTTGTTATTCGTGACAAAGGGAACTGCTCATTTTTTTCAATAAGATGTCTTTGTTTCCTTATCAAATGATTCATGTCGTTGCTTTCTTATCTTGAGTAATGCGATGGGTTGGGGGGGTCTATGTTAATAGAAAGCCATCCATCTCACAGTTCTAGCGTTAAATAAGAATATAAATAAGCTTGTTAGTGTAAGGAATAATTGGTATATCCATAATTGTCTTTCTTGGCTAGCACACTGTGCAGAAGTCACAGTGAGAGGCTAATGTGACTAAAGAGCAATGTGGTAATGAGCTTTTATCGTGATTCACTGTAAAAGCAACTCAAGCACAAGAGTTTTAGCATTCGATCAACCACTGAATAACTTGTTTGCATAGATATTATACTTCCATGGCTTTTAAAAGCTCAATGAATTCATCCAAAAATTTATATTCTGACCTCATATGAAAGCTTGTTTCTCCCACAGAGTATATATAGAAGATATTTATCTCACAATTGCGAGTTTACATCTCACAATTATGACTTTATTTCTCATAATTGTGATATATAGTCAGAATTGTGTCATATAAAGTTGCACTTCTGACTTCTTTTCTCGCATTTGCGAGTTTATATCTCACAGTTCTGAGAAAACATGTCAATTGCGAGTTATAATGTCAAATTCTAAGGAAAAATCTATTTTTTTTCTCAGAATTGCGAGTTTAATTCTGACTTTGTAACACGCAATTGCGACTATATATCACACATTTCTGACTTTATTTCACACAATTCTGACTTTATAACACTTTATATCTCGCAATTCTGACTTTATAACAATTCTGACTTTATATCTCGCACTTCTGATTTTATAACACACAATTGTGACTTTATATCATAGAATTGAGACTTAATATCTCGCAATTCGGACTTCATAACACAGAATTGTTACTTTATTTCTCACAATTGTGACTATATCGCCTCACAATTGAGACTTTATATCACGCAATTGAGACTTTATATCATGCAATTCTGACTTTATATCACGCAATTGAGACTTTATATCACGCAATTCTGACTTTATATCACACAATTGAGACTTTATAACACTTTATATCTCGCAATTCTGACTTTATAACAATTCTGACTTTATATCTCGCACTTCTGATTTTATAACACACAATTGTGACTTTATATCACAGAATTGAGACTTAATATCTCGCAATTCGGACTTCATAACACAGAATTGTTACTTTATTTCTCACAATTGTGACTATATCGCCTCACAATTGAGACTTTATATCACGCAATTGAGACTTTATATCATGCAATTCTGACTTTATATCACGCAATTGAGACTTTATATCACGCAATTCTGACTTTATATCACACAATTGAGACTTTATATCACAATTCTGACTTTATATCACGCAATTGAGACTTTATATCACGCAATTCTGACTTTATATCACACAATTGAGACTTTATATCACAATTCTGACTTTATATCACGCAATTGTGACTATAACACATATTTTACTTTATTTCATAGAATTCTGACTTTATAACACTTTATATCTCGCAATTCTGACTTTATAACACACATTTGTGACTTTATATCATGGAATTGAGACTTAATATCTTGCAATTCGGACTTTATAACACACAATTGCTATTTTATTTCTCACAATTGTGACTATATCACCTCACAATTCTGACTTTATAACACACAATTGTGAATATATCACACCATTCTGACTTTATAACACACAATTGAGACTTTATATCACGCAATTCTGACTTTATAACACGCAATCGCGACTATATATCTCATAACCCTGACTTTATAACACACAATTGAAAATTCAAAAATCAAAACTTCCATAACCTCATGTTTTTCCAAACTTTTTTCCAGTGCAATACTAAGAGCATACAGGACTGGAACATGAACAATGACTGAATTTCACATTTCCTTTATGGCTAAGCTATCCAGAGTCTTCATACATTTAGAGATACTTCTTGAGTCTGATCAATATCGCCACCCACCTGATGGCCTCTGACTCATTTGTCTGTTTCCTACAGAGCACCCGGAGCTAATATCCATCAGCCTGAGAGTGTACTGTGAAACCCTGGTCTCGGCTTCCTTAGGTTAGCCTTTTAACATGTGAAATGTTCTGGAGGCTATAGCCTGCTGGGTCAGGTGAAAGGGTAACCAGCAGGCGATGTCATTATCTGTAGCCCACAGCCACCTATAGCTCACACACACACCAAACACTCGCAGTACCACAACACATCCTCTTCTTAAAGCCGACGGGAGGACTGGAGAATCAGATGCATAGTTACTAGACACCGCTGTAAAGAAAAGTTACATACTGGGGTTGCATCGGAAACTGGTTTGCGTTTCGGGACTGAGAAATAATATTATACGTGACATTGCTAAAATTGTTCGGAGCACACCAGCAAAAGTAGTGAATATGAATGTGTCGAAAAAGAAAAATCTGAAACGAGACTGTCTGAATATTTTAAAAATGTCGGCGGCAAAGATGAAGTTGACTCTCGTCGTCACAGTATGGCGGATGGACGTCTAAGCACTGTAATAATTCAGCTACCACACTACGCACAAACACTTGAATATTCACCCAATAATAGCGTACATTTATCTACGTTAAAGGCAAAGTGACTAACGTTAGGCTACTACTTACATGTTTCAAATGATAAGCCATTTTTGATGTCAATGAATGAATGAAAGGTGAACATTTCCTGCCCAAGATAATTACTACATGAACCATGTTAACAATCTGTCCGTCATACTGCTAGCCTGACGTCGTCATACTCAGATGCTAGTCTGCATGTGAGTCCGATCTGCTCCAATGGGGTTTGATCATAGGGCGTTTCAAGCAAACCAGGAAAAAAATGCCTTTGCACTCAATTACATAGACCGAATCCCGTAGGAAGGACGGCAAAAACATCTTTCTGATGCTCCTCTTTTATAATGAATGCACGGTCTACATCTTCTATACTGACGCGATGCTGAATCTACAAAGTTCTCCAGCGACGGCCATATTTGTTGTAAGCGAATTCAACCCAAGTGCTCTTTGCTGACGTGGATGATTACGTTACCGTTGATCATCTGTCCATCATCGTATAAAGCCCGCCCTGACAATTTGATTGGTCCGAACAGCTTTGGTTCGGGCATACTTGCTTCTCAACGGATCAAGTCCAGACTGAACTTCCCATCCTCAAATGTTGTTGGCTAAGATTGTACTGTGTGACTTTCGCCACTTATTGTGGAGTTTTTTTTCTGTGACTAACCAGCTAATTAAAATTGAAAAGATTCTTCTCGTTGACTAACGTTTAGTTGACTATTAGGGGACTTAAATGCCAAAATTTTTTTTTTTTAAAATTATATATATATATATATATATATATATATATCAAAACATAAAAAAATACTTGCATAATCACTCTTCTCATTGACCAACGTTTAGTTGACTATTAGGGGACTTAAATGGCCAAAAAAATAATATATATATATATATATATATATATGAAGAGTTCAGATACAAAAGCCTCTAAATGCCATTTGAAATTTTCTTCTTTCATGATGATTTTTATCAAACTTGTATATTTAAGTTCAGTAATTTCACTTAAATAACAATTAATAGGTAATTATCATTGTCATTTAAGTGAAATTACTGAACTTAAATATACAAGCTTGATAAAAATCATCATTAAAGAAGAAAATTTCAAATGGCATTTAGAGGCTTTTGCATCTGAACTCTTCATATATATATATATATATATATTTGAAAAAAAGAAGAAATATATATATATATATATAATAAAATATATATATTTGAAATATATATATATATATATATTTCAAAACATAAAAAAATACTTGCATAATCACTCTTCTCGTTGACTAACGTTTAGTTGACTATTAGGGGACTTAAATGCCACCCCACCCCCCCCCCCCCCCCCCCAAAAAAAAAAATAAATAAAAAAAAATATATATATATATATATATATATTTCAAAACATAAAAAAATACTTGCATAATCACTCATTGCTGTAACTTTGGGGCAGCCTTACTTAAATGCAAATGCAAATACATTAAAAGCACATTTAAAAAAAAATACTTGCATAATCGATAATTGCTGTAACTTGTGAGTACTCAAATATTCATGCCAGTTCCTACCAAAACTGAAAACAACCAGGGCACACGTGTTAACTATGAAAAGCAATTATTTGAGGATTTCATACAGATTTGGTAAATCTCACTTACCCTTTCTGCTGATTGTGCGGTGCCAAAGAAGATGGGTATAAAAGCTAACCAAATAATGCAGGTAGTGTACATAGTAAATCCAATGGGCTTGGCCTCGTTGAAGGTCTCTGGCACACCGCGGGTCTTGATGGCGTAAACAGTGCATGTGACCATCAAAAGGATGCTGTAGCCCAGCGAACAGATGAGCGACAGGTCCGAGATGTCGCACTTGAGAACCCCGCGGGCCTTCACCGGGTCGGACGTGCGCTGCTCGCCGTAGTCCACGACCGTGTGAGGCGGGTCGACGGCGAACCACACGAACACGCCGAGCAGCTGCACTGAGATCAGGCTGAAGGTGATGACCAGCTGGGACGCGGGGCTGATGAAGCGCGGGGCGGCCACCGACTTCTTGCCCTGTTCGAAGATGCGGTGGATACGGTTGGTTTTGGTTAACAGAGCCGCGTAGCTGAAGCACATTCCCAAACCCAAGAACACACGCCGGAGGGAGCACACGGCCAAAGTCGGAGTGGCGATCATCAAGAAAGTGATGGCGTAGCACAAAAAAATGCCCGTCAGCAACACGTAGCTCATCTCTCGACCGGATGCACGGACGATGGGTGTGTCGTTGAAACGGACGAAAGTAACCACCACGAAACTAGTGGCCATGATGCCGAGAACCGCAACGAACACCGGCACGGCGGCCCACGCCGAGTGCCACTCCAGTTTGATGATGGGGATTGGGATGCATCCGGTGCGGTTGCGGTCCGGACGCTGCTCGTACGGGCAGAGCTCGCAGATGAACTCGCTGGCCTGGAAGTGGTAGCCTTCGCAGCGCTCGCAATGCCAACAGCAAGGCACACCCTTCACCACCTTCTTCCTTTCACCCATCTGGCAAGGCACACTACACACGGAGGCGGGGAGAGTGGGGTCGCCTGTCCGCCAGTGCATCCCGTCCACCTGCAAAAGGACAAGGAAAAAAAAGTCCAAATATGAAGACCAATAAGGGTTGATGGTGCCTTTAAAGGGATAGTTCACTTTGAAATTAATTTTTGATATGTTTTATCTTACCTCAAGGGCATCCAAGATGTAGGTGTCTTTGTTTCCACAGTATTTTCAATTTTTATATTTTTAGGTCAAACCGTTGTTGTCTGTCAGTCATATAATGGAGGTCTATGGTCACCACCTCAAAGAGCAGCACAGAGAAGTCCAAATTAAACATGATTTAATGACTCGTGAATGTAAGTACACATTGATGGCCTAAGACACGAAACGAGCGGTTTGTGTGAGAAAACGAACAGTATTTATATCGTTTTTACCTCTTATAATCACAGTCACGTCCAACTGATCTGAGGCCGCGGGCGCTTCGGTCTGTGATCTCTCGTGCGTGTACGTCACTCATTGTTTACACAGTGATTTCAGAAGTGTCACCTTTCACTGTGAAGATCTAAACATATTTAGATATACAGGAAATTGCAATGGAAGACAATTTCGATATACTGTATCAACAGACAACGTTGATTTTTTTTCAGTTAGAAAAATCAGATCAGTTGGACGTGGCTGTGATTACAAGAGGTAAAAACGATATAAATACTGTTCGTTTTCTCACACAAACCGCTCGTTTCATGTCTTAGGCCATCAGTGTGTACTTACATTTACGAGTCATTAAATCATGTTTAATTTGGACTTCTCTGTGCATGCTCGTTGAGGTGGTGACCATAGACCTCCATTATTGATTGATAGACAAGAACGGTTTGACCTAAAAATATCAAAATTGAAAATACTGCGGAAACAAAGACACCTACATCTTGGATGCCCTTGCACCTACAGTACATGTCTACTAACTCTCATTCTCATGTTAATAGAGTATATGGCCGAGTGCAAGCGTGGATCGTTGAATGAATATTTTTAATCTGGTGTCACCGTTGTCGAGTGCATTGGGTTATCAGCACCAACAAGTCCAAGCCTGTTCATTTACACCCACAGTGTCAAACCAAATTTAGCATTTTAATCAACAGTACATTTTTTTATCATATGACTTGGAGTATCGCAATAATATCCTATCGTGAGTTCAGTATCGTCATTGAAATATGACATTATCGTCACACCCCTAGTTTAATTTTACACACCCTGGATCTTTTAAATCTGAGTGGGAAGAATATACAAGCTTTAGTACATATTGAATCGTTAGTAGTTTCAGTAAGTAAATGGAGCCCTTTAATGTGACCCACATACACACTGTAAACAATAAGACGTCCACATGCAAAGGATAACGAAAAAAGACGAAGAGCAGAGGCACAGTGTTGAATTAGAAACTGTGCATTGAAAAGAAAGTCTCATTACCCACACAGATGCATCACAGCAATGTAGGTTGTGTCATATTTGAGGAAGAAATGATTTTATTATTCCTTAGTGCCTGAAAGCGGTGGGAATAAGAAGCCAACGTTGCTCTTTTAAGTGCGGCTCCCGGGCGCAACTTTGATGACAGATATATTTTGGGACAAA